TTCTCTTTGTCAAAGCATAAAAAACCATCCACTGAAACATGATCGCTTTTAGGTTCTGCAATTAAGTGCTCAACCTCAATTGCTTCCTCTTCTAAGCCAGGAACAACTGATTTGTCTACCTATACAAAATGCACAGGATTATTTAAGAAAATGGCCTAAAATAGGGAAGGCCAAAAAGCTGTAACAGTTGCTAAGCTTCAATCATACAAGACCGTAAATGATGTTTGATGAATCATTAGAGAAGAAAAAGGTATCCTAGAAGACATACAGAAGTGGAATATAAATAGAACAAGGCAAAACAAAAAGGATTGAACTTTTAATAAAGCTAGAAGAAATACCTTTAACATATATAGAAAGCAGTTTCAATAACCGTAAGTATTAAAGACCATATAGTCTGTTACAAGCTACAAGGAAAAACAAATACATTGCATAAACCAAGGTCCTCATAAAAACTATTGAATTTAAGAGTTCTTCTTTGGGACTATGTCTTTTAACAATAAAATGTAAAGAGGAAGAAGCCACGAAAACATCATGATCCAAAAAAAGGGGTCAATCAATGGAGCCCCATTATGAGGTGTTCATCAAAAGAAAAATGACAGTTAAAAATAATATTATGAAAGGAAAGTCCAGCAATTAACGCAGGCAAGAAAACCACTCCAGTCAAGGACCTGGACACAAAACTGCCACTCAGTATCTTCCTTCAACTAAATAGAGCCTCTTGTTCATCAATCATTAATGATGATATTTGTTAAACATAAAGGAAAAAAAAGAGAAGAAACTACTTTTCTTTTTTTGGCCAACCACAATTGGACAGCACATACCTTCCTTCAATAATCACAAAGAGCAGTTATTAGCCTTGGTTAAACCATAAGACAAGTTTGATTTTATTTATGCCAGATTTGCTGGAATTGTGAAACTAATAATCTAGAAAAATCGATTTTGAATGTTAAATTCAGATACAGTTTTAAAATTTTGTTCTCTATCACACACAATCCTCAACCTGTGATATTATAATTACTCCCAATATGTAGAGATCAAATTATGCTGGATGCAGAATGAGAAAAAATAGAGCCATGATTATATAGCATATGATAATATCCAAATATCATCAATCAATAATTGCAATAACCCTCAATGGAGAAAATATCTCACCCTTTTGCTTGTTGTGTCAGCATGGTTCTTAATCAGATGTGGTTGTTGACCCATATCATTTTATGCCCTTGACAAATAAAATTGTAAACCTGCATTAATGGATCCATTTCTTCACCAAAATTAGAATTGAGAAGGCATGGTTTAGATAACGTAGTCTGCCATTCAAGAAAAAACGCCCAGCTTTTACACATGGACTGACAAACCATAACATCTCCCTCAAACATCAAGCAGCCAGGCATTGAGAACAGCATACACTAGAACAATCTTGTTTATAATTCAGAAATTTTACCACTTGACATCTGAAAAAATTCCAAAATAAAAAAAGTTCCAGCCACCTCTAACACATCAAAAGATTTTCCATTTCCAGAACTAAGAGAATCACCGTTCTTGTTCTTCCAAATTTATACCATTTTAAGAAGTGTATAAAGGACTTGGTAGAATGTCTAAAACCACAAGTTTTAGCCATACCCCAACAATCCATTTCTAACTCTGCAGGTGCAAACCTCATCTCATTGTTAGAATCAATTTTCTCCTGGACCATACACTCAAGGAAACGGTGGAGACAATACCGTTTGTATCCACTAAACTCATAAACTTAGTCGTCCAAACTCCATTTTCTGAACAGAAAATCATGGCAGTTGTGAATGGATGCAGATTCAAGGGCGCTTAGAACTGTTGATTGGAATCACATTGACCACCAAAAGTCAATTAAATCCCCCCACTAAAAGGGAGAAAATCATTAAAACCTATCAACATAAAAATCATATAGATCTTAAGAAACATTTTATGCAGTATTGACTAATCAACACAGCCATCACCCTAGATTTCTTCCATGCATATTCAAAGATTCAAACCCCCACTAAAAGGGAGAAAATCTATCAAGAAACAGACTTTCACAACAAATAAAAAGTATATATATATAAGGAGATCAAGAAATCAACCTCACCCGATGAAGAACACAGAAACAAGGTAAAAAATTGCTGATCAAATGCAGATAATTTTTTTCCCAAAAGAAAAATCTGCCACCTTCATGTTATTAGAAAACCCCCCCCCCCCCCAAAAAAAAAAAAAAAAGAGAGAGAGAGGAAAAAAAATTACAGTAAAAGGCCCTACAACAGCTGTTTTGCTCAGCTCAACATTATTCTCTTTTTCAAGAGAAATTAAAAAAAAAAAAAAATTGCAGCTTGCTTGAGCTGACCTTATCCATTTCAGGGACAAAGAAATAAACAGAAAAATATAAAAGGAAAAAAAAAAACATTTTGTTTTACCATCACTATTTTTTCACTGACACTTTCTCGGCAGCCAAACATCCACTTAAGCAAAGATGGAGGAAAAAAAAAAAAAAAAAAACGAAACGTACCTTGACGATCGGGAAATGAAACAGACGCCGGCGAGCTGACACTGTCCGATACCCCGATCTACCAAGTTTGGAGCTGAAAAAACAACAGGAGGAGTGAGATCTAAGCAAAATCCGGAGAAAGAGATCGACTTTTAGAGAAGATCTTTACTTTGGAGAAAGAGAGAGATTTTTTTTTTTTTTTGACCGTCAGAGAAATTCCGGGGAATGTTCGAAACGGAAAGAGCTCAAAACCGCCAAAACAAAGGGGGGTGGGGGAGACGGACGGAGAACGGATGTTGAAAGAATTTTTGTGAAACGGAATTGAAATGGGTTTTATAATTTCGTTAGGAAGGTAATATAATCTGACTTTCATGTCCGCCGGCAGTCGGTGACGGAAGACTATAAATAATAATAGTGAGGTGAAAAAGCTAACTTCATCCCTTAACTTTTATATTTATATCAAAATTATCTTTAAATTTAAAAAGCATTTAAATGGTCCTTTAAACTTTAATTTTCAGTATTAAAATAATTTTTGAACTTTAATTTAATATTAATTTAATTCATAAACTTTGAAAATAAGTATTAATTTGACTTTAAATTTTAATTATAAATAAATTTAATCATTGAACTTTAATTATATATTAATCTAATATATAATTAAAAATATATTATAATAATAAAATATAATTATTTGATTTAACGTATTATTGATTTTTTAGAAAAATTAATTTTATGATAAAATAATGAGTGAATGGCACTTTTATTAATAAAATGATTAAATTATTATAAAAAATTAAAATTTAAAGATAATTTTAATATTTTTTAAATTTAAAAAATAATTTCAATATGAATTCAAAAGTTAAAGGAGTAAATTGATATTTTAATTTAATAGTAAAATGAGGAATAAAATATTAAAAAAATGACAGCTGACAATCAATCTTAGGGCAATTTCGTGTCTAATTCAAGTGCATGCATTTCAAATCAAGTGATATCATTAAGTCAAAATAATTAATAGCTTTTGTCACATCAAGATAATGTAGGAGTAGACACTCATAATATTAATATATTTGGTTATGG